TTATTTAACAGGTGGGAGTGGACAAGTCGATATTAATAAATGAACATTCCCAGCATGTGGTCACTAATGCATGTATGTAGTATGCTGACAATAACAAATAATACTGTATACTGTCTCAGTTCATAGGCTGAATTGCTGAGACTATAGAAAAACTGGGTAGTAAGAGAATATGTATGCTTTTACCAATATTTGCACTAATACTAACTGCAATCCTGTACAGGCAAAATGTTACCAGAAAGGTCCTAAAACACCATACTTTTAACAAGAATCCATACACCATAAAACTTGTCACTGAACTGTTATACCTTGAAGATTTTCTCCCAGAGCAAATATAAATTCCACCTTAAAACCTCCTGGGAATTTGAAGGAGAAAATCCATTCATAGCACAGAAGGGGGTCTGCATTCTCAAGTGTAAGCCTGAGGATATAGTGGATTTTATAGGGACATAAATTTGACCAAGCATGTCAAGCTTATGGCGCACAGAATCTGAGTGCTACCGTCCACTAGTATGCATTATAATATAGAACACTGATAAAATATTGTGTTATATTTTGTTAAAAAAAACATTTTAGGCTATTTTCTGATTTGCTATAATCGTTGTTTCCTCATCAAAAACATACCTGGAGTTGTGTTTTGCTTCATTCACACATGTTGAACACACAAATCCTGCATATTTAGGGTGAGTTAGGTTACGTCCACAGGACAATGCTGCTGGATTTTTTTTTTTTTTTTACGAACTGAAAAAAATTTGCATCCACACACGTGCGAGATCAATAAATATTCATGTCCAGATCAGAGTACTGAGTAAAATTATGTAATACATCTGAAACACCTTTATGTGGCACTCTAAACAATGATAATAATATTTAATAATGCATATCTCATTTTTTTTATTTAATTTTTTTTTTAACTTTAGGGTAATTTAGCCTAATTTAGCCGTTTCGTTTTGCAAAAGTTAAACAGTTTTCCTTTTTAGCCATAAGATTTGGATGAGAATTATTAGAATAACCTGGTCTCAAAATCTAGCAGTTTAATTACCCGTGCATAATCTTTGTTATTGATCTGTGTGCGTAATCTGCGGTTTGTTTGTCCACGCGACAACGCAACACCGACGTTCTCAGATTTCTCCACTCTGGAACCTGTTCTCAAAAAACACAGTTTTCGCCCACCCAAACCGCCGGCTCCGTGTAGACGAAAGGCCAAAACAAATACAAACTTCACGTTTCGACCAAAAAACGTTGTCGTGTGGACAGGCCCTTATTCTCTCAAACAGAAAACACTTTACGATGTCATGCAGTCATAAAGGAAGTGCTCCACTGTGATTTCTGCATACACCTTCACTGGAATCATTTCAGATAATTTCAGACCACAAACTGCTAATCTCTACTAAACTGAAGGTAAAACGTAGCTGTTAACTTGAAAACTACCACTTCATGACATCACAAAGTTGAACAGAGCATTTTTACCTTTTGAGTAATCCTTTATTATTACTTTGTCTACATCTCCAAACATGTGTGAATGAAACAAAACACAACTCCAGGTAGGTTTTTGAGGCGGTAATGACATTATAACATGGCTTAAATCTCACAGGAGTCAATTTCGTGTAATATAGGACCTTCACAGTTTAAATTGCCTCATTATTAACAAACTACATTAAGGTCTAAAATTATTTTTCTCATTGTACAGGGGCCAAGCTGAATTTTCAAGATAACAATGCTATTTAATGAGCTTGCCTCCTACTCTATCTCCCTCAGAAAATGGGTAATCAAGTTCCCAAGCTAGCTGCAGTCTTATCTTCCAGTTCACACCTACACAGAAGCCATTGTACCCAAGAGCACACAGTCAATGCTACGACAACGCTTCTTTAACTCAATATTAAGTTGGCTGGTTTGCTCCACATTTCTGCCACATATGTTTTGTTTTTTGTCAGGATTTTTTGCTTGGATTTGGCGGATCTCGACAAGAAAATTCTCAACTGAGTGCATGCAAATGTCAGCACAGACTGTTCTCAGCTGATGCCATTTGCGGTTAAACCTATGACATGTGGAAAAGGGGAGCTTTGTATGAAGAGGAGCGAAGAAGTCAAGCTAGATTTGCGATTGGACTTCGAAAATTCTCCTCGTGTGACATGTTTGCGGATTGCATCTCAAAAATGTACACAAATTCGCAGACACAACCCCAGACGCTAACAACCACATACATTCTTAACATTTTTTGTAAGAGGCAATTACAGCGACCCGAACTGGCAGCCCGGGATGTTCTACACTCCAGTGAAGACAAGCCCTCTCCACTCCTAATTATCATGACAAGAAGTCCAATTCTGGAACGATAATACAGCAGCTGGGTTTTATTAAGAAAATGGCTGAGGCTGACAAGGGCACGGAAACACGAAAGGAAGAAGAAGAAGCCAGGAGTTCTAAAGGATACACCCAAATATGTCAATTAGAGTAGGGGAGAGATTTTAATTCGGAAGCTGCTATAGGCAAGATGAGCATATGTGAACATTTAATCTGAATGTAATTTTTCTGGTTTGGAGGTTCGCCACCTGCTTGTCTCCATAGAGATGTTTTTCCTTGGTCTGGATGGTTACATGGAACGGTACTGCATTTGTAAGCCCGGTATCTTATCCAATATCAAGTCTTAACTATGTGCGGGCTCGCCTCTCCTCAGATCTGTCTTGTAACTTGGCCTGGTTACTTCCAAACATTTCTTATTCAACATACTCTAACTCTGGAAACAAGTTACAGTGCACACATTATGAACCAGCATTATGTCATTCCATAACCGAAACTGCATTCTTAGGACCGCAGGGTATCTCGAGGTTTGACTACCTCAAATTTAAGACTTTTTTAAAGACTTTTTAAGATCACTTAAATGAAAATTAAGACCAACGTCGCACTCATTATGCAGGCGAAAAACACCAGGTCTAATTCTAATAATGACCAACCAACTACCAGTACTACATCTAGAATCTAAGGCTATGTTTATATGATGACGGTCCTAACAGAAGACACAAAAGTGACGTAGTGTATTCACTTTTTATTTCACATTTAGACGAGCGTTTTCGGGAGGAAATCTGCGTGCATACAGTGATGCAAAAGTGTGTGGAATTCGATTGGGTATGCATGTCAGGCAGCTCGGTGGTGACACCAGGTAGTGACGTATGTGACACAAACATGGACGCGACGTGAGCAGATCTGACCAGAGTTTTGCGTCTTGGGCAGTGTGGACGAAACTGGTTGTTTACTCATTGCCGCTGACTCCAAAAACCAAAGTATTGTTTGCGCATACTTCAAATTAGACGTTCATTCATGTTACATTATTTCACTTTTTTTTTTTTTTTTTTACCCTCCCTCCATTTAACATTGCACTGCAGCCAGGTTGAGTAAACAAAAAAAAATAGGCTAATGAAATTTAAGATCTTTGTGAAAAAAATAATACTTGATAATTTAAGACTTTTTAAAGGCCTTAATTTAGGAACATGAAATTTAAGACCTTTTAAAGACTTTTAAGACCTCACAGCTACCCTGGAATGGGACAAAAACAACTTTTAGTATGCATTGCCAGTTTACTACTATGAATGACAACTATGTGTTCTATTCCCTTAATGCAACTATAGGCTGTAGGTGTGGCGTGATTGTACAGGAAGTTAGCTGATCTCCCAGTTCCGCTCCTATCCAGGAAGTGAAGATAAGGTAATGTTCAAGTGCCCATGTTTAGGCTGGATAGCAAGCTTCAAAAGATTTTACTTGTTTGTCTGTAATTATTTGGGTATTTTTCATTTTCTTGATGAGTTACTCGCAAAAACAAGAACAAATCAAAACAAATATTCAGAAATTCTAGTGGTAGAATTACTGGAGAGGTAATTATTGGAGTCATTCCCGCTGTGGATCAACACAATTTGTCTAAGTAAGGGTTTGAGAAAATTAAGTTAAACAAATTACTTTTCTGTTCTGACCATCCAAGGCTGCTGTATTTAGAAATCTGGCCTTATTGTACAATTTTACCAAGTTATTCCAAATCACAACTTGACCACTCCAAAACAAACTTTGAAATTGAATCAAAACTCCCTATAATTTCTCAGACTTCACAGATTTTATGATAATATTAACCTTGTGGACTGACCTAAATGTGAATAAACAAGACCAGATGCTTCTATAACCAACCTCAACGCCAAAGTGCATGCAAAGTTTATATTTGAATAACAGCGCTCATTTCTCACACATTTGCATTTAACAGGAGCAGGGTTGGAGTGGTTTAAAGTCCTGCCAGATAAAACAAGACCGAGGAAGCCCAGCCCAGAAGGCATCTCTGTTACTTTTATACTGCTCCAAAGCCTGTGTGTGGTTTAAGATTGTAACTTTGTAGGCAAGTACAGACATGAGTCATATGAACCCTCAGATTGACGTTTCCAAAGTTTGACAAATGGACGTTTATGCATATGTTTCGAACAACAGTTGTAGTTCATGTTGTAGAATTTGATTTCCAAAGTTCTAGCTGGAGGGCAGGGACCAAAGAGGAAGAGATAATCATTCTGAAAGAACATTTTTGATCTATTTTTTCAGCATGGAAACGGGAACTAAATCATTTTATTCAAGTTTGTAGCAGTCTAAAGTTGTTCCTCACTTTCTTAGCATTCCAGTTACTCACCGCAGTGGGTTTTTAAGCACTATTCACAACTTATTATCAATAACGGAAAAACTTCTATTCAACTAGCATACCAATTGTGCACTTCTTGGTTCACAGAGGTTAAAACGCTCATAATAATTAGATACAGCAGTTTTATTTTGACCTTAGAACGGGTTATACTAGGATAAAGTATCTCTAATGTGGCAAAACAAATTTTACTTTTACTTTCCGGCGCTTGTTTACTTTCTTACTGTACTTCTACTTTTAATTTTTCTTTATAAATCAAGAGATTCTTAGCTTCTTAGCCCTCAAAACATACAATATTATGATATCAAATGAATGCAACCTCCATAATGTGATTTGGACATACCGATATTTGAAAAACTTCCTGTGTGTCGTCCAGCATCTGTACCCGGATGGACACTAGTCTTCCTGGAGGCTGGGCGGGAGGGCGTAGGCCGGGCTCCAGAGTCGACACTCCAAAGCTCTCTGGGGCGCTCAGCCTCTGTCCCGCTGTGGAGGGGCGGTCTACCGGTTCAACCATGACGGAGGGACAACAGGGACTCTACGGCGTCAGGGATTTCTGGTCAGGTCTAGAAAAGAACGGAAAAAAAGGACAAAGTTAGAGTTTGAAAATGGCATTGGTGATTATAATGTGGGATTGCCGTTTTTATGTGCAGTTTTAGCATGCTAGTCTATGATTTGTGGCTTTTTAAGTTTTGGTTTGGTGAATAAGCACATTTTGCTTTTACTGTATTGCTTCACAGCCTACTATATAGCTTCGGTCTGTTACACTTGAAGTCACTGTCCACTTATGGAAACTAACAGGTGGGGGACCTATGCACCAGAAAAGTTCCACATTTTCACATGGGTTGTCAAAAACATTGAAAATCAGATACTAGGGGTGTTATGATATCCAAGTCTCACGATACAATATCATCACGGTATGAACCTCACAATACGATATTTATTGCGATATCGTGGGAAAGTTCAAGATATGGTGGGGAGGCTCACGATTAGGGATGTAACAATACCCAAATCTCTTGGTACGATATTTTCACGGTACAATATTTACTGAGATATTTTGTGGAGGCTAACAAAATTGTTAAGATGTGACTTTTTCCTCTTAAAATGCCTTGACAAACCTTAATCCAAAGAACTAAGACTTAAAAGTGCTTAGAACTGTTATTTCTGCATGTAGTCTTCACTGAAATGGAGCAACGATCATGGTCTATGTAGTTCTCTCTGTCTTTTTTTAGCTGTTGCTGCTCCATAACTCTTAATTTAAGCAAAGAGACTTGCAATTCGATATATTGCGATGGTCCACAATATTATTGTGAAAACTTTGACGATACGATATCACCATATGCCGGTTATTGTTACATCCCTATCAGATACTAATTGATACTAAAACTAGATACTCATTTCAGCAAGTATCAATTGTAAAAAGGTCACATTCACAGGATAGAAATAAACATCTCTTGAATGGCTTTAAAATTATCTTGAGCTGAAGTATAAAAGCAGATAGACTAAAATACACTCATGGACCACTACTGAACCTACTTGGACGACTGAGGGTTTATACAGAAATAAGGCCACATGGTTATATAAAAGAAAGTACTACAATTTAATGTTGAATATCTAAATTTATTGTTGTGTTGTTAAAGAGTGTTTCTTATTATCATCGTGGTATCAGAATCAGTATTATTGAGTATAAAGTCAACTCCTTACTTAATGTCGAAATTGAGTTTGAAATGTTTGTATCATGACAACACTGATACACTGAAATACTACACCTACGACTTTTAACAAAGGATCATGTTAAAAATATTTCCTTTGTTAAAAAAAAGGAAACATGAATCTGTTAGGGCAATTCAGAAACAGTTGCACAGATGGTAGATAGAACAAAAACAACAGCACATTTGTGGACATACAAAGTGGTACATTACTGGCAGTTGTTCACTGAACTTTTGCATGAAGGTTAAAATTTGTCTTTTATAAACTTTTATACGGAAAGGGTGGGTCTGTGGCGATGCAAAAACTACCGTGGGGATGTTTAATTGTCCAAATATGCTCCAAACATTGCCACACTGGTTCAGTCTGAATTAACTTGGCATTGCGCAGACAAGGGTGTTTCCTGGGGGATTTTTAATATCTGGTTTTGCACCACATAAAGAGTACTGGGCTTTATAGAAAGACAAAACCAGCTAATTTGTGCCTACTTCCAGCCTAGCCAGACGTGTGTCACATTTTCCCGAGGAGCAACCATCAACACAGGTGGGATTATGGCTGTTTCCGCGGATCTTTCAGAAACTCGTCCAGACTTGAAGAACGCAGATGAGATGAGACAAGATACAGTCTAACAACACAATAGACCCCCCCCTCCTCTCCCCCCGTCTCTCTTTTTTTCACAGACTAGACTTGTCAGCGCTCCCCACCTGCACCCCCCACACTTGATAACCCTCCGCCCCAAACAATAAATATCCGCAGATGACATCACGGAGTAGGAATGCTTCAGAAGACAGCCAGAGAAGGGGGAAGAGGAGATGACGCTGGCACGACTCATTGCTCGTGTCTTGTGGGTCAATTAGTACATTTCTGCATCCTTAAAAACAGACAGTAGAGCTCTATTGTCACAAATCAATGAGACCACGACACAATGAGACAATACACAATAGGGACCTTTTGAACTTTGTAACTAATTAACAGGTTAGATGAATCCCAGTGAAAGATGGGAGAACTTTTCTGGTGGAAGGTCTGCCACATGTCCATATGCATCAGAAAAGCATTACAATGTTCCAAGTTACAGGTCAGATCTGAGGAAAGGCAACCAGAGCTGCAATAAATCCATAATAAATTAAATATTTATTGGGTCATTAGGAACATTTCAGGCAGAGCAGCAACAGCTCCATGGAGACAAGCAGGTATCAGATCCTAAACTAGAAAAGCTTAGAGTCTAGTAAGTTTACAAACCATTCAAAACCTTAGCTGTAATTATATAAGCCTATCACAATAAATACTCTAAAACCATTTTTGGCCGTAAATATTTACTTGGGTACTATTTCCTTGTACTTGTGGCTACCTTAATCGAACCTTCATTCTGCTTTAGGGTTTGGTTTCAATATTATTGTTTATTATTGGTTATAATTAATCAGGACAGGCCTATAATTATAGTTAATATGCGGTAAATCAAAACACATGTAAACAAAATGTTGTCAGTGGAGCCTTTAAGTTTAATTGGAACCAAGACGCTGCTATTTATTTATTTTTTTATTTTTTATTTTGCAGTAGCGAGACCAGTGCATTGTGGTCTATGCTCTAATCTTTCATTTCAACTTTCTACAGTCATATATCATCACTGTTCACTTCCAGTAAACACATTTTCCATAATATGTTTGGGCTTTCAAGCTTAAAAATTATACTCCCTCAAAATGTCAAGTTTTATTTAGATTCGAAGTCCAGAACGCATGGTTAAGCCCCAACAGCCCACACAGGTCTGTAGGTTTTCATACGTATAATTTGCGGTTGCTTATAGTATACAGTATATATTATGTAAGTTTATTTTCTGACACAATATTTAGGTACTTTGTCATCCTTCTTTTCCTTTTCGACTTGACCTATGACCTTTTCAAACATAACCTACCTACAGAAACACACAAACAACAAAATCATTCACAATTCCTGCATCCACACCCTGATATAGTTACCTTTCTCTCACGCTTCTTATTCCCAAAGTGAAACTACGCCAAACCGTTCCACACCAGTGCATATGGCGAGTAAGATATAAACAAAACAGACTTATCATTTTACCTCCACCTGCTACACGACCAGGGCCATAAAAGCTGAAATTGGAGTCTATCCAATGAAGTGCTTTAACAATATGGTGAGCAGACTTTCAGGTTACTCATTACACCTGTGGGAATGTAAATTTGTTCTTCCTGCGCAAAGAGAAAAAAGAAAGATACGGAAGTGTCTATTATGTATGTCACTAGGCTGGCTTTGTTTAGAAGAGATAATTCAAGATAAGTGTAAAGAGTCAATGGTTAAGGCTGAGTGAGCACGAAGAAGCAGACGCCGTTCTCACAAGTAAACACTGCTTTAATTATATGTTTTGAGATTAGAAGTACTTTGTGGGCAATAAAAAGGCGAGAGACTGAAAATTTATTCTTGCACGAAAGGATCATCAACCATTTCCAAGTAGAAGACATACATGAGGATACAGTTGAAATGAACAATTAGAATATCGAGTATTGTATAAAAATTAAATAAAAAACTGAAGGGGTTGCAGAAAGTAATAAAAAATTATCCTACAGGGCAATCTTCCATTAGAGAGTGATATTCCAGTAACTGTTTGCACCATTTTGTGTAATGTTACAGTCCATTAACTTTGTGTGATACAAGTTGGATTTAAGACTGTGGTCAGACTTGGACTCTGGAAATAGGACCATTTCATTCAGATGATTATCGCACAACAGTTTAAGCTTGATTTGTAGAATGATTTCAGTTTCATATTAAAAAACAAGATAGTCAGATAACTAATACGGGTCTATTAAGGAGGTGGTACTGTGCAAAACTGTTGTTTTTTTTCCCTTTCTCTCATGTTATAATGTTGTTCCCTCATGAAAAACGTGCCAGCAGGGATTTTACGTATCATCCATTTTCTTTTCAGTAATTTAGCGATCTCTCCCGGGCCCTATTCGAACCTTTCTTATGATTAGTTGTAAGATTCTGTCCAATACTCAGCCCACAAACCTACGTCATCCATGCTCCCACAAGACAATTATCCATAAATATACAAAAACGCAACAACTTGACTGTTGTGGTGTGCAGTAGTTTCATTAGTGGGATGCAGACTGATTGTGTTGTGATAGCGCTATGAAGGGGGAGTGACTTAGCATGGAGAGCAAAGGTAAGGAAGACTCAGAGCATCAAAAACTAAGGTAAAACTTATTAAACATATCAAAACAATCTAAATCTAAATGTGTTGGGATACAAAAAATCTGAGCACGATGCATGCTTCCAATAGACAATCTAAACCAAAAAAGAAAAAAAAAACAAGTGAACAATGAAAATAATACATGAACATTAAAAAATTCCACCAGTTTTGCCAAAATTTTTTCCCACCTGCCTTCACCTTCCCTGGCGACACCTCATTACCACCAAAACTCTAATCTCCTAACCACAAATTCCTGCTTTAAATCCTCAAGTCTACTAAAAGCAGCCATTTAAGAGTAGAAAATAAAGATATTGCATCATCATCCAAATTAAAAGAGAGAAGGACAGAAGCTGAGAGGAATATTGAGTGAGCTTGGACCAAGAGCTAACAAAGGACCTCACTGTGGGAGCCAGCAGTCTTTGAACCAGTTTGAGTTGAAAAGTTCCCAAGAGCTGGTTTAGGAGGCCGGGGCATGGGAATGGGATACTTGTGCATGCGGACACACGCGCGAGGAGGAGTGCGAGGGGGAGGAAGAACAACAAAGGTTACCAATCCGGTTTCAACACCAGCAGCAATTGGATGCTTTTAAAAATAGAGAAGAGGATGTATAGAGGAAGTGGAGGGTAAATTATATGCAGACCTACGTGTTACATAATTTTGGGAGGGATGGACACGGTTGGCTGGAAAGAACATTGATAAAAAAGACGTTATTTGGTCTATCGCAACTTGAAAATCTGGCCAGTTATGGATTAGATCACAATTAGTGTCACAGGATACAAATGTGCATTACGTCTGTCGATCTCCATGGAAACAACCAGGTGAATGCATGTTTTTCAAGGTATTTTTGAGAAGTACAAAACACCTGTAATTGAAGAAATGAAAGACTGTGGAACATTGCAAGAAAAGCAATAACATCTCCACAGAGACAAGCAAAAAGGTCACACAGTCCACTTTTAATTGGAACTATAGATTCAACTCCAAAACAAGACACAATATTAAAGTCCTATTTCATGAGTGTTCAATATATTCACCAAGCCAAAGAGTTTATACCAAGGTAGTAGCGCAGCCCATATATTATTATTATGTCTACCACATGGTCCACCCTTATACAATATGGAGATAGGAGAACAAAGCAAGAGAAAGGCTGTCTGAGGAGTTGAGTGGTAGTACAGAAAAACATGTGGGCGATGGAAAACAGAATTTCCACCAATGCTTTAACGTTAAAAGTAGTCCTAATATATTGGATGTCACTCCAAAAACGTGACAACCTTACAAGTGGAAGCACCGATCAATACTTGACCTATGCCACGCTTTATCAAGTTGACACTTCCTAACCATTACACTCGTATATGGCTCTCCAGAGAAGCAAGGAGGACAGTCGGAGCTTCGTCCATTGTTGTGTGTATGCGATATTGATTTAGAAAAGTGAATAGCCAACAGGGAAGTCATTACCACCCCCGTTTGGGATCAAGGTGGCAAACAGTCACCGATAGCTGGGACGGGTGGGGGTCTGTCCTCTTCAGTTTGTCACCCAGGCTTGCGGTGACCTTATCAGACATGGGGGGTGAACCAGCTCCCAACATTTGTTGCCCCTTGAGATCAATGAATTAATTGTAGATGTCACCTGGTAGACGCGATATAGGAGTGGACAGATGGTCAAGGCTCGCCGATTCCCTTACGAATGAATGAACTGGGGTTGAACCATTTGGGGAAAATGTCTAATTGCGATTTTTCGGACAAGCATTGCAATTACATTTGTGATTTCTTTTTTAATAAAAGGAGTCTGTTCACACTTCACATTAGGCAGATTCAGAAAAACTGACACACTAATACAAGAATCACATTTCAGAACAAACTACAAATCAAAACTGCAGGATACTAGCTGTTTTTTATGTAAAATAAGACAGGGTATTTTGTTGTTGGTGGAGAAAATGATGATACTGCAGCCTTTTGGGATTTGCATCTATTGAAATTGCGACTTTGATTAAATTCTCAGCCCTAGGATGATTGATGAATCAGGTCTTGCACTGCTTCAACAAACAAGCACAAGGTTGTGAGTATTTCAAGTACAGTAGGTAAAGTCAGGACTGGAAATGTAGGTTAGGAGAGTAATCCTTTAGGCACCAGAGTCAGTAGGCTAAAAGGCAAGCTGCCACACTCCACAGACGTATGTTGTAAGTGCAAAGACTTGTGAAGATAAACATGCTGTGGGTGACAATATTTCCAACTATGACAACAATGCAATCTATCACGAAGAGGCAGGTAGCAACAGATCAGGGAATGGTGCATGACTTAATTGATCAAAACAAAAAACACTAGGTCTATGTCAAATTTAAAAAGTGTTTTCTTTGTAGAGAATTAGACAGGTAAAATGGTATTACACTGATTAAGCATAGAGGTTACAGTAAGTAATAATACAGGGAGACCTCCTACTGCTCAGCCGATTAAGAAAATGAAGCGACAGATTGTGAGTGAAGCAAGCTTATTCAATACCTATGCGATGGGGTTGGTCATGCCACGCACATGTATTAAAAATGGCAACGTGGTTAAGTCAGTACAGAGCGAATAAATGCATGCTACGTTTTCTCCCCGTGTAGTTTTGTTCAACACGAGACACAGTTCCTCAAGAAGACAGTCAAGGCGCTACGTGCAACCTCGTTTAGTAGTCCCGGAGAGCGTGATTTCCTTACCCGTGATTCTCCTCTGCTCCACAGATTGTCCCCAAGTAAAGGTTTTATTTTCCACCACGTAACGTAAATCCCAAACCGCGCTTCTTGAGAGAAAAGTTGCCCGCAGAAGTCCCCTGCTCACAGCCGCAGCTCTCACTCTCGGCTGGGACGTGCTTTCGGAGCGGTGGCCATTGAGACAAATGCAGGGAAACGAGCATTGAGCTTTCTACTGGAACAATAAAGAGCAACACAGTGCCTCCAGCACTGGCACCCGGCACTACAGTGAGAGCCAGCCCAGGCTCACGCAGAGGACCAGCGAGAGTGAAGCAACCGCGACACCCCGTGTTGATACGGGAGAACTGCACCGGTTTTATGAGGGAGGAAGAGCCTATTAATAAGAATTAAAAAGGAGAGCTGTGGTTTGAACATTTCAACATGCATTATAATAATATAGCACACAAAAGGTGGGGTGATGGTCATTTTCAAAAAAACATTCAAAGAAAAATGAAAAGATGTGGCTGGCCCGTACGGGGATCGAACCCGCGACCTTGGCGTTATTAGCACCACGCTCTAACCAACTGAGCTAACCGGCCATGTTGCGCTATCATTTCTCTAACCTTTATCATCCTGTCTATACAATGATCTTATAACATTAAATTGAATGTGGTCCATACACCTAGTTTTCCCAGTATTCTGACTATTATTCGCCTCATTGTTTTGTCAATAGAGGACATCATTATACCATTATTATATAACAACTTATTTCATCCAAATTAGTTAAGAAATAAATATGCATCAGTGTTTGAGGGAATGTAGAGATGCAGTTACCCTGGTTAAATGATCGGCTAAGTGGCGACATCATCATATACAGTTACCATAGTTACCCCAGAGAGGGCGAGACTGCTCACGTGACCTGGCAAGATGGCGACTACACTGTAGAATGGATGCGAATCGTGAATGTGAGTACTTTTGTATTATTAGCTCACCGTTATATGAGAAAAATAACGTGCATATAAGCCTTTAAAACCACGTCTGGTGTATTTTGTTCTGTTTACGAAATAATCAGTTACCTTTCCACGCGGAGAAACGATACAGCATCCCATTTTGTTTATTCTTTGCCAACTCCAGCGCTGCCCGAATCCGCTAGCGTTAACCTAGCCATCGTGTAACGTGAGCCAGGCATTATCTAGATCGCTTACACTGTTTTCACTTTCAGGATTAAATCTCACCATAAAGATTCAGTTTTTATTCTTAAATAAAATGTTCGCTTTTGCTGTTTTGCAGAATAGATGGATCCGCGGTGTTGAGATTGTAGATCCACTGCTCCTTTCTTTATTGTCAGCAGTAGCAGAGTCAACATGGCCTTAAATGTTTTTGGTAAGACAAATTAATCTTTAATTTTTACAATGTTAAGTATCAGTTGTGTGTGTGTTTTGATGTCTCATTTACTTAACTGTTGTATTCTTTTAGTTTAAAGTTATGATCCACCAGATTATGGAGAACATATGCTATGTCACTCTTGCTTAATTGCATTTTCAATAGTTTCATGATTCTAATAATTGTTTCAAAAATTATATATTATCTAAATGGTAATAGTAATTTATGTGATATTACAAAATGGTTTCTACAGCAATGCATTGAAAGGCATTACTAGCGGTTTAATTTGCTTGTTTATCTGTCTGTGCATGTTGCCTTGAGCGAAGAAGTTAACCTAATGTTTGTGTTATTGTGAAGAGAGGATACAGGGACAAGAACTGTGTCAGATAAGACTTACAGAGTGTGGACAAAGTTCACCAAGACAGGAAACAGGCTGTTTCTCACTCATAACATGAATACAGACGCCCAGATGTAGTAAATAAATTTTATTACTAGTGACATGTCCTTTTTATGACCCAGGATACAGCCAGCCAGGGTTATTGAAGTTTTTGTTGTACACTAAAAAGATGTCATAATAACAGTCAAAAAGTTTACATGTTTCATAGGCTTATGTTTGTCATTCTATTTATTAGGGCTGCAACAATAAACAAAATGATTAAATTTTGATAATCGCCATTGTTATCTGGACTATACTAAGGTGACAAGATGTCTCTATTTACCCGGGACAGTCCCAGTTTTATCTAAAACCACTGATTATACATGTAATGTCCCAGATGTCCCTATTTTTTAGTAGTTTGATACTCGCCAAGTTGCACTGACTGAAGTGTCTCTGATTTATACAGTATATTGACTTACTTGTGAGTCATAAAAGAGGTGTGAATATGTCCTCAATGGGCCAAATGTAATCCATTGTTTTTAACTGCACACACAATTTTATTATTACCAACCACCCTGGTCAGCCTAGACTATACAGACTCTAAAATACATACACATAACAAGGACAGTGGCATTATTAAATCAAACTATTAAAAAGGAATTCAACATTTTCTTGTTTTCATCAAAAACACACTTAGCTTGTTGTTTGTAAATATTATTTTTTTAGAAACCTTCAGTCCCCATATTTCAGCCCCTATTTGGTTGACATAATGCATATAAAGGTCTCACTGTACAATAGAAGAAAAAAAAGTTTGACTTTAACTAGTTTGACTAGTCGGCTGCTAAAATATTTCTTAGTAAATATATCAAATAAAATAAAAAGAAACATCAGGTTTAACCACTTGAGGGCAGTGTTTTTAACTTGACTTTTTTTTTTTTTTTTTTTACACAGACCATGATGACTACAGGCCTGTATGGAAATCGTATTGTAAGTATCTGTATTTATTTAGTCGTATGTTGCAGATTTAGTTCATGTATTTAAAAGTCCTTTTTCTCACTCTAGTGTACCAGCTCCAGCAGGAGGCGCCCCATCCCCGCAGAGTCACATGCACCTGTGAGGTAAACAAACTGGCACGACCCACTGGGAACCCTCCACCAGATGTTTGGAACCCAATGGGGATTTGTTGTTTGTCAGAAATCATTTGTTAAACTGTTGGTGTTGACCTAGATGCAGTAACACAACTGTGAAGGAATTAGGAATGCTTGATTGACTTTTGCAAGCATTTTAATTAGGGCAGGAAAGAAGTGCTGAAATCTGAAACAAACCATCCATAATAAGAATTATTAATAGACAGCATATTAAACCAATAGTGGAAACAAGCAAGCATCATGTAATAATATATGTTGTTTTAGTAGTGTTAATGTAGTCTATTTTGATACTAAGGAATAGACTCTGATTCCAGTGCAATGATGACAGTATAAAATATTCTTAATTTAAATATTCATTAGTATAATATGATTTAAACATTCAATTATTGTATTTTCTTTTTATATTAGCATTCTATCAGTGTAATCTCTCATTTGTGCTGGTAGTTTCCATAGTGGTCCATCAGTGCATACTAGTCTATGTGGTCTTCTAACCTAAATTTAATTTAGCATTTAAACTTTAAGAAACTTAATAAACATAGTCTCTGACTTAATTAGCAATATAATGACATCAAAGAATATCTCTCTTTTCTCTATTTGTTTCTGTTACTCCACTAATAATGATAATCTTATCTTTAGCCTCATAGCATAATTGCTTTAAAAGTAATTTTACAAGGTTTTCTGAAAAATCCAAAAATAATCTGGCTTTGTCAGTATGATGATAAGGACATTCTTTTCTTTTTTTTCTTTTTTTTTTTTTCTGTGAAAATCATCCATGGAAATGGATCTGGAGAGTACAAAGAGATGGAAAACAAAATCTGTCCAAAGTATTACTGAGACAGTTATGCTATGAGGACCATGCTATTTAAATAAGCCTGCAAATGTCTAATAAACTGGATGAAAACTGAAGAAATACATTCAGCAAATTAGCCATAAATCAATATTGCAAAGCTTAGGCCAGCTTAGAGCTCTGATTATATGTCCTACAAGCAATCCGCCCGGTCATATTGACAGCTTTTAATATTATAGACAATATACTTAACATTCTAATTTTCATACCTTCAGAACAGCCATTTATAACTTATTTTATGGACAATATTATGCCAAACTCTATCTGACTTGAACATGTTGTATAACTTATTATTTAGTCCTCCACATATATGCCAAATTAATATGCCCTGCCGTTTGTTGGTGCTATGTTGATTTATTGGCTCGGCAGCAGTTCTCTTGACAGCCGAATGTTCAAGACCAGGTTTTTATCTGACTCATGCAATATTCTCCTCACCTCCACCTACAAGCCTCTCACTTACTGGTCTACAGGCTGCCAAAGTCTGGGAAAATGTTTACCAAGACTAGACTCGCCACAATAAATACTATATCGACTTATCGTTCAGTACATGTTAGAAGGAATAATCATATTTGGGGTCAGTGTTTATTGTGTACTTTTTGCACGTTTGTGTTTTTGTACTTCTTACTTGTACTAATGAGAAATATGAAGTAATTTTTCTGTACTACGATAAGTTTTGAGATGCAGAAGGATGGATTATGAACTTTTATGACTCATTATAGATACAAATGAAGTCATTCATTCTGCTATTTATTTATTGCAGGTCATATTTTTTTAAATAGTATTGTACATTTAGAATTTTTGGGGATAATTCTGGTTTCAATATTATCCTTTATCGTTTATAGTTACTTCAACTATAAATTGAACTTCAAAATTTGTTATCGTGACAGGCCTTACTAAGAGCTTGTTAATTCACAAAAAAATAATAATTCTCTTTTTGTCTATCCAGGTAGAAAACCGTCCAAAATACTATGGAAGAGAGTAAGTAACAGTTGCCAGTTTTAAAAAATACATCTACAGCTACATTATGTTTTTTACAATGTTGTCGTCTTTAAGGTACCATGGGATGATCTCCAGAGAAGAGGCTGACCAGTTACTGAGCCAAGCAGAAGGCAGCTACCTCATCAGGGAGAGTCAGAGGCAACCAGGCACATACACACTAGCTCTGAGGTACAGAAAGTACAAATACTATGTAGCATTGTAATTAAAGTTAATCAAAATTTTACTTGGAGATCAACAATAGCTACCAAATTCTCTCTCTTGCATGTGGTAATGCTACTCCTTCATGATCTTTATCACTATGTAATTTTAGGAACACATGGCTGCTCAGTTATGACAAAAAGCAGATCTTAATCAGGATTATTTGGTTCGTAATGGAATGGCATAATAATGGCTTTTCTTCTAGTTTGGTGAGGGGAATTTGTGCCAAAATCATTAAGACTAGAATGTATTTTATTTATATATATATATTTTTTTTTATTACACAGTTTTGAAAACTAAGTAATTTCACAGCCTTGTGTCAGGTCGGTTGGCTGTCTAGGTTGAGCAAGTCAGTATAGAAAGAGTGTGGTTTTTAAGGGTAGAGTTTCAAAAGAATATGTGATGAAAAGTAAAAGAAAAATATGAAGTAGTTTCAAAGAGTTTTAGACCTTTTTAAACTATGTATTTGGTGTAGTACATTTCTTTTCTGAAGGTTAGGTACAGTAGATTAGGTATTTCTGGCATTAGCTAGTTTCCAACAAAATTTCTTAAAGAACTTTTCCAAAAACTCTTGATCTACTTTATTCTCACTTGGCCTGACGCAGTGCTAGCATGATTCACTGGAGTAGGAGCTGTCACATCACAAAGTCTCACTGATTTCAATTGGCACATGACTCCATTTTGAATGTGGCACACGGCGAGCTTTTGGGTCAGTTTAGTCTATTCATAGTCCCCTCTCATTCTCCCACCCGTGCTCATCCCTTTGGTTATTATCACCTTCCATAAATACAAGTCCACTGTGGATTGGTAAAGAAGAACAAGGTTGGCTTTTGGGTTAATGATGTAACAGGCTGTTTTAACTCTTGGTGGTTGTATTGCAGTCTGTTAAGGCAATGTTGCTTATAATTAATAAACACCTACTATTTTAAAACAAGTACCATACTAGTTAATTTGGTGGTAATTTATAACTACATATTTAATTGCCTTAAGTCTTGCATTATTAATTCAAAATGAACAAATAGTTTGTTAAGAATGAGTCAGGCTTAGTAGTTACCTAATTAATATTCTCCTAACTCCTAACTTTTTAATTAAAAAAGTTACTAATCCTGAATCATTCTTATTAAACTGTTTGCTCATTGAATGAATTAGGCTTCATTAAAGGTCCTATATTACACACAATTGACTCTTGTAAGTTTTTATCCATGTTGTAATGTTTTGATGCATTCACCTACATTTGAGTAACTTTTTATTATTAGTTTGTCTACATCTCAAAATGCTCTGTTCCACACTGTGATGTCATGAAGCTGTAGTTTTCAAATGAACAGCAACGTTTTACCCTTTATTTAGTAGAGATCGGCAATTACATAGCTGAAATGATCTATTATCAATTATCTAAATGATACTAGTGAAGGTGTGTGGAGATTAAAAACACAGTGGAGCACTTCCTGTATGACATCACAAGGTGGAACTGAGTGTTTTCTATTTGAGAGAAGAACTAAGCCTAAATATGCAGGGTTTGTGTATTAAAAATGTGTGAATGAAACAAAACTCCATGTATGTTTGTGATAAGGAAACAACATTATTACATGGATGAGAAAAAAGCGTAATATGTTACCTTTCACATTATATCTTTGTGAATTTGCTTTAGGTTTGGGAACCAGACTAGAAACTTCCGTCTCTACCATGATGGGAAGCACTTTGTCGGAGAGAAGAGGTTTGAGTCCATCCACGACTTGGTCACAGATGGCCTTATCACACTATATATTGAGACTAAGGTTTGTCATCATTTATTTTATTAACTTTTTATATTCCTGAGTTGTTAATTAATTAGGTTATCCATCTTGTTTCTACTAGGCTGCAGAGTATATCGCTAAGATGACCATAAACCCCATCTATGAGCACGTCGGCTACACTACCCTGAACCAGGAACCTACTCTGAAGAAACATCTGCCCATCAGCCCGGATGTGCCAGACGGTCCAGTACCCGCTAAAGATAACGCTGAAGAGAGGGTAAGCTGAAATAAGTCTTAACATTGTGTATTCCAACTGCATTAAGAAATCTGTAGTAGACAAATTCATTATTATTCACTACTCATCTGTGTATATGGTGTTTTAAAAGTGCTTTCTACTTTTCCTAGTAATTGTTGGCAACTTTAATACTTAGTATATTTGCTGCATTATGGTCAAAAACGCCTAAATCTTATCTAAATCTAAGGCTGCCTTCAGTGGCCTCTGCAGTTTCCAGTAGTTGGTGACATCACATAAGACTGTCCATCTAGGTGTGTCAAACTACAAACACCTGGCTGCAGTTCGAAGTTTGAAGTGTGGATACCAGTTTTACCAATCGCAGTGTTCCTCTTATGTCCAGACGCCGCCCCTCGCTCTTTTTTGTGTCCTCCAGGTACTTCCCAGTTTAGCAGCTCTATTTGAAAAGTGGTTGTGAGTGAATTTTAGCTGTTTAGTAGTCCCACTTTGATGAAGGACAATTCCTCTTGACCGGATAAGTGTGTAACAGTGTGATATGGAAAGTGGTTCAGCGGATAGTTTGGTTAAAGAATATTGGGGATAATAATTCATTTTGAAACATTGGAACTCTATTAGTTACTGTGTTAGTATGCGTGTGCTGCCACAACAACAATAGACATAAAAAAAGTAAATATTGTGTATAGTAAACTAGTTATTGGCCCTATAAATTACTCCCGTTATGGTTATGATTAAGATTGAGGAGAAATTGAAACATAGTTATTTTAATACAGTTTTTCCCTTTTCGTCTTTCTTAGAAAGCTACTGAAATAGAAACAAACTGCAGAGAGTTTATGTAAGGCTTTGAGTGAAGTTTGAATCTATACAGTACAGAGAGGATGGAGGGATAAGGGTTGCGAGGTGCTGAAGAGAGAGGAAGAAGACGAGGAGGAGGAGGAGGAGGAGGAAAGATGCAGAGCAGAAGTGGCCTCCAGCCAAGGGCTCTGCAGCAGAGTTACATAAGAGCGGGGTGCCTGCAGAACGCACTCCGCCGCTGTGTCCTAGAGCTGTCTGCAAACTGTTAAGGAGGCAGGAGTGGTGATAATGACTCATTCAGCTGGGACATGATTAGCCATTAAGACATTATGGAAAACAACAATGTAATGATATTAAAAGTACCAAAATATTACCGAGGACACCATTTCTCATCTCTAAAAAGCAGAGGGGACAACATTTTTCTACTTTGTGCTGCATAGTATCCAAAAGTAATATCGGATTTGCAATATAAATGTGCACTATGCAACTTTTCTAGTGGGGGTTCGTCCCTGTGGAAATTTTATCGTTTTGCCTCGGAAGTTCCACTGTATGGCGTTAAACTCATATTTCTCCTCTATGATGATGCTATCAGGTCAAGTATTGGGTCATATCTGTGGAGTGGCGACCCTATTCAAAGTAACAATGCATGTTCAAGGTATTTTTGAGCAGTAAACACATCTGTGATTGGTGTTAAACGTATTTATCTTGTATGATTCATACAGTGGATACATACAGTCTCCATAGGGACAAGCAAATGACACATCTCCCACCAGAAAAGTTACATCGAGTATTTTAAATCATGATTCAGATCGAAGTGTATATTGTAAAACTGTCCAAAAGCATTAACATTTAAGAGAAGACATGTTTGTAGAGGCCGAAAGTAGAACAAAATTTTCAACAAAACTACAATTAATATAACAAAGTGAGATTTGGATATAGTTTCATTCATCTCTTCTATATATTTTTTAAAAATTCATCCTTATTTTGAAGAACCTCCTAGAAACGTCCACTCTGCAGCTTTGTCTTGCAGTGAAGCTCGGTGACGCATAAATTACTAATCAGTTTGGACCTCACATGGCCTTTATACCTTATACAATACAGCAGACATACACAGTACATTAAAAGATACCCTTCCCATTCATTTAAATGTGTCCTCCGGTTATGTAGACCCCCACCAAGGCCCCGGTGTGACCCGCAATGCATGACCAACTCCACTGCACCATATACATCAATGTCCCAGCACATACGAGTTCTGCTATGTGTTGTGTAATTGGCTGGAATTGCAGACAAAGCAGGAACAAGGTTGTGACATTGAAACCAGTACTAGTAGCTATGGGAGAGTAAAAATACTGCGTGTAGTCATTGGTAGTTATTGAGGAGGCGTTTTAGCTTGTAAATTAAATGAGGTTTTCGTAGCGCCAGAGGGAGTGATAAAGATAATGGGGTTTTAAGGGCTCTTGTTAAAAGTCAGCGGAGAGTGGCGGACATGATGGAAGAAGAGGAGTAGAAGTTAAATTTAATACAAAATATGTTAAGCAAAATTAGGCCAGCAACTAACTGTTTTATGATTTTAAATAGTGTGCAGGTTGTGCATAGTACTTTTTTCTTAGCGGTTAGTTTAATTAAAGACGTAAAATTGCTATTGCTTATTATCAGAGGTGGGAAGTACTTGCAAGACTTGCTCAAATACATTTACTTGGGTTACTTTTTAATGAAATTGTACTTCTCAGAGTAGTTTTCAGAGACTGTACTTCTGCTGCTACTTACCATATTTTCCAGACTATAAGTTGCTAAAGAGTATAAGTCGCACCAGCCAAAAAATGCGCAATGAAGAAGAAAAAAAAAAAAAAAAAGTCGCACAGGACTATAACTCACACTTTTTGGGGGAATGTATTTTATAAAATCAGAGACCAGGAACCGACATTTCATCTTGAAAGGAAAGTTATAGTAATAACAGCACAATAGAGAACAACAGACTGAATAGGCGTTAATATGTTAACATAACATATTAACAGTTATTCAGATAATTATAGCATAAACAACAGAATAAAAGTTTACCAAACTCATGATCTCACTCCAAATCACTAAATCCATTGAATTCTTCATTCTTGGTGTCACTTCTATGCAACCTCCGGAGATAAACCATAGATCAATGATGTAAAAAGAGCACTGCTTCCTTTTCTGCGTAGCTGTTGTCAGACTCAGCATAAGTTCCAGTTAGAATTATTCCGGCCTTTCTGAATCCAGACAGGATTGTTTCGATTGTCATTGAAGTTCAGGCTTGGTCGATTCATCCAGTGACTTCCAGGAAAGTTGCATGGAGCACTCGCCCGGTTACCATAAACCTGTGTTCTCCATCCCTGCTTTCTGCCAGTCCCTAAGTTTCTCGCTCACTCCAAACTTACTTTCTGCTGCTCAATTACTGTTTTCGGCTGCATATTTCACTATATGCGGCAAGACAGCGGCTTTTTCTGCAGGAGACATGCGCAGTAGAGTGCAAAGTGACAATGGTACAGGAGTAATGGTAGTACTAGATACTAACACACAAGCCTAGAGTGCCCTCTCGCGACTGTCAGTCTGAAAATGTTAATATATAAGTCGCACCGGAGTATAAGTCGCAGGAACACCAAACCATGAAAAAAAGCGTGACTTATCGTCCAAAAAATACGATAATAAATATTTTTTGAGGTAACAGTACAGTACTATTACTTGAGTAAATGTTTGGGTACTTGAGTAGTCGTAGCTTTACCAAATTCTTTTTTACTTTTGAGTTACTTGAATTACCTGAGTAATTTCTTGGAATACTATCTTGTACTTTCACTTGACTAATATTATTTTTAAGTAGGGGTACTCCTACATTTATACAATTTTGGCTACTCTTCCCACCTCTGTTAATTAGCAAGTCATAATAATACTTCATCGAATAATACTTACAATACTTCATAATATTACAGTCACAACTTCTATCAGTAAAGGATGGAAAGATGGTAGGAAGGGCATCTGGCATAAGACTCCATATGTAAATCACTACACGAAACGAAGGAAATTGTTTTGTCTGCATTGCCTGGTATGAAAACGCCCAAAGGAAATAAGAAATCATCATTCAATACCAATTTCCATATTTATATCCTAATTATACAGAAATGTACTTTTATTATGTGAGTTATTTAACACACTGCTACTGGCTATTGATTCCTGTACCCACAAAGTCCCCCGCATTATTCTACCTCCTCTGTTGTTCTGCTCTCCTGGGACAACCGAGGCAACCAACAACATGCGAACGCTGTAACGTCATTGGCTGGTTCCCTCCTCAATGTGACCTGTTAAATTCATCCATTACTGCCACACGCCGGCGCTGGGTTTCCGTGCTTGTGGGGGACATTACATAGACTTGCGTTCATTTCCTTTAGACCAATCCTGACCTTAAACATAGATACTACTTGCGCAACCGTAACCTTGTCTAACCTTCACGTATTTTAAGGCCTATCTTAAAAACGCTGTATCTGATTTTTATCTGAAAAACGAACTAATTCATTTTAAACGTTCAAAGTTATTCCTCGCTTATCTTATGCATTCTGAACATCCAAATTATTCACACGATTTTTTCTTTTATTTTTCACAAATCCCAGAAAGCAGAGCAGTGTTGATTTGATTCATTTTTATTTCGAGTTGTGCCAAGAGAGAAACAATAATCATATACGTACTACATACATACATTGTAACAGAAAAGAAGAAGAAGAAAAAAAACTCATGACGTAGTTTCAAAAATTCAGAAACGATGTGGTTGCTTTACAAGTGATTGAGACTCAGTGTAACAGTAAAGCTAACCTCAACTAGCATGCTAACACACACTTCCTGATACTCAATAAAATGCTTTAAAGGCAGATGCCGACAGCACACAACAGTTAATATTTCTGCTTATACAATATATCTATACTTGGGCATGACAAATTTTCCTCAAATACATGGGAAAAATCTAGTACATGTTGATTTAATAATTAAGTATTTTACGTCATTTTTTTGTCCCCAATAAAGGAAGCAGGTCCGCACGATTCGAGTGCGTCCACGTCTTTTAATCCCCGCAATGTGATGAATACCCTCCTACACGCGCACACACCACCTTCAATTTATTCCTCCTCCTCTCCCACTCCCTCCCTCCTTTCTTTCGTCTTTCTCACTCTCTTTCTCTCTCCCTCCCTTCGCTGTAGTGGTGCCCGGTGACGTTTAGAGCAATGGCAAAGAGGATTACAACGGACACACAGCGAGCCATGTGGGCTGCGGAGCTCACCTTAACAACAACGAACGGACACGGTTCACTTTTATTCTCGGATCTGGAAAAATTTGAGATTTTTTTACTTTAGAAATTACCCTGTTAATTGTGGATATAGAAGAATTGCGCTGTTTTGGTTTCTTGGCTCGCATTGTAGTAGAGGTGGATTTTTATGAATGGGCAGCCTAGTTTAGTTGAAACAAAGCATTCTATTCTTCAAATTACACTAACACAGAAGAATTGGATTGTTTTCATTCATTGTTTTGCTTTGTAGTAGTATTTTTTTATGAATGAAATCCCTAGTTTAGTTGGAAGCAGTGTATTTTAAGTGCCACCATGCCAAGTAGAGAAGCTTACATCGCTAAAAAGGTGAAAAAGCGATCCAGAGGTAGACGAAGCAAGAAGGACGCGAGCCAGAAAGGGACGCTGTTTACATCGGCGGTCAGCGGTTCGATCCCCTCTTTACCTGTGACGTCCAACGGCATCCCAGATACGAGCGCGGGGAGCGGGTTTTTCCATCGGATGCCCTCCCCCCCTAAGCCCAAATCCCCTGCCTCTGCTTTCTGGCAACCAATCCGATCTTTTGCCCTTTCACAGCTGACATCGCTGGTGCGCCGGGCCACGCTGAGGGAGAGTGACCTGATGCCCAAGTACGAGAAAGTCCATAATTTCAAGGTGAGAAGCGTTCTTGTGTGTGTTTGTGCGCGATTGTGTGTGTGTTGTACATGGAAAGTGCTGATTTTGCATGGGGGGACTTATTCAGATTCACCCAGGACACCGCAGAGAACATGCAACCTACACATAATAGTGCACACTTGGCATTTGTTTCTAGAACATGCAGCTGTTGTGTAAATGTGCAATGATGCGGCTATGTAGCTGTTATGTATTGTTATTGACATCAAAATAGTAGCTACACACAAAAAAAGCCTCTAAATAACTATTATATCAGGTTTTTCCATTGAATTGTTTTGTTTTGATCCTTTCAAGTTAAATATTTTGATTGGGAAAGGTGATAACAATTTTGGAGTCTAGTATTAATATGATTTGTTAATTGACTTTTCATAACATAAACTGTAAGTAAATGTCATAATATTACATAATTATTAATGTGGAGTCTTTTAAGGCAGTCCCAAGCCTGTATAAAAGGAGAATATAGTGCCAGGTTTATCCCAGATTGCCATTCTATACAATACATTTTCGCATAAAAACAACTTTCTATTCAATTTTCCTTCCACTGACTTGATCTTATAGTGTTTTCTCTCCCTTTTTTAATGTTATATCTGTCCATCTCTTATCTTTCTTCCTCCAGGTTCACACGTTTAGGGGTCCACACTGGTGCGAATACTGTGCCAACTTCATGTGGGGTCTCATCGCTCAGGGAGTCAAATGTGCAGGTAAAAAAAAAAAAAAAATTGTCCATCTAAAATATTGATTTGTTCTTCACACTGTAGCTCTATCCCAGAATTTAAATTAGGACAGCACGCGTAGGTTCCCTGACTCATTCAAAAATGAGTCACGCTGAATTTAGTTGCCAAGAAACATTCCTCTCAAATCGATAGTTCCCTTGTTATGCAATATCTTCCATTCATTGTTAAAATAGCAAGTGTTATGCAATATATATTTTAGCTTTCTACAATGATATAACGTTGTTCCTTCATTAAAAACATGCCGGAAGAGGATTTAGATGTCATCCTTTCATGTTTGAGTAATTTATCAATCTCTCCCAGGTCCTATTCGAACCCTCTTTACGGTTCGCTTTAGGTTTCTGTCCAGTTCTAAGCCCACAAGCCTACGTCATCCATGCTCCCACACAACAGTTCTGCATAAATATACAAACCTGATTCTAGTTTCATTAGAGGGGTGTTGTGATAGCGCTCTGAAGGGAGAGTGAGTTAACACAGAGAGCAAAAGAAAGGGAGACTTAATTCATTGTTTGTGGCGAATATAGCATTTTCACAACAATAAAAGGTAACAAAAAAGGTGATCTGTTATAGCAATTAATACCCCATAGAAGTAAAATACCTTCTCTTTAAAATATCTTGCGTTCTTTTTGTTTTGCAGATTGCGGGTTGAACGTCCACAAACAGTGCTCCAAGGTGGTTCCCAATGACTGCCAACCAGACCTCCGGCACGTTAAGAAAGTATACAGTTGTGATCTAACGACGCTGGTCAAAGCACACAACACAAAACGGCCAATGGTGGTGGATATGTGCATACAGGAAATAGAAGCTAGAGGTAAGGCGTAAACTCAACTGTAAGAAATATATTGTGTTTTCTTTGTGTTCCACTCTCCACTCATTGAATATCTAATGTCTCCTGGGATGCTCGGTTTTATTGAGTGACTGAAGTGCCCTAATATGTCAAATCAATAAGCTTTCACTTGTTGTAATTGAACTTGATTGGAGAGAAAATTGACTTAAAGCCCTCTGTTTTCCATTTTCATCCAATCAATCTTTATTGTCTGTCGCTCTGGTGGTATTTTTTATTTATTCATTTATTTTTTCATTTATTTTTTCTGATATGAGCAAATATTTGACGTGTCTGCAGGTCTTCAGTCCGAGGGGTTGTACAGAATATCAGGATTCAGTGAGCTGATTGAAGATGTCAAGTTGGCGTTTGACAGAGGTAAGACCCCATATGCAAGACCCTTTTCATATATTCTCTTACTTGGCCATTGTTTAATCACTATAAAATGTTACACGTTTTGATATTACCAGTTTAGTTGGTTAAATACCAGTACCCAGCTACAGTAAAAAAGAGTAGACCTCCATTAAACAGCCCAAATAACAGGTCAGATCTGCCTTATATAAATGGGAGGTTACAGGTAATAATGGCCCCTACAAACATGTAAACACAAAAAACTGGAAAATTAGTGGTTAGCTGTAGTCTAGGTATAATTTTTCTAGTCTGCTACCTTCTGGTCTCTGTAGTCATACCTGTAATCTTCCATCACAACATATTATCAAAGAAAGTTTAATACAGATGGGGGGCAAATGAATACATGAAGTTCATAGGTCTAGTCACTACAAATGATCAGGTTAAACATTTGTGAATTTACGTTTTAGATATGTAATGGGAAAATACTGTGTTAATATGTAGGGAATTTTGGCTCGTGCTTCCGTCTAGTAGCCTGATTCATCGGTCGGTTTCACTTCGTAGAAACCGTCTGACCTCTCAGCATTAGAATTAATTCGCTCTATGGTAGGCGGGTACTTTTTATCATTTACCCAATTGCTCAAATCCCATAGGAAGAACGCCTTTCCCCTTGATAAAATTCACCAAACATTCTCTTTATTCTTGCTTTAAGTCTTTGATCTCGGGAATCATTGCCAACACAGAATTGGCTCTTCCCTGATTGGCTGGTGCCCGAACTCGCACTTCCAGAGTTTTTGCGAACCGTCTAGTGTATTCCGATTCCTGACCTAGTCGCTGGAGAGAAATTAAATTGAGCGGAGGCACTCGGTGGCACCAGCCTGGCTACCCGTCTAGGAGTATGACATCTAAAACAACTAAAAGTGAAAACCACAAGTAGCATTTAAATGATCTATTCATGGAGACAAATTGTTGACACCACCAGAGAGGTCAGATCCGTGGACACAATGCATGTTTTTCAAGGTAGTTTTTTAACTGCTAAAACACCTGTAACGCAAGATATGTGTAGTGGCATACATTTTGGTAAAGCAATAACATGTCCTTGGATATAAGCGTAACACCATGATAATAATTGTATGAAATGAAAAAGCCCAGATCATATCTAATGCATATCTACCAATACTCATTGTTTATAATTGATTTTCTTGCAGATGGAGAGAAGGCAGATATATCTTCCAACGTTTATGAAGACATCAACATCATCACCGGAGCCTTGAAACTGTACTTCCGAGAGCTCCCCATCCCCCTCATCACCTACGACGCCTATCCACGCTTCATAGAAAGTGCAAGTAAGTCCTCTCTGCAGGAGCGCTCAACCAGCCTCCAATCCTATTTAATGTAACCGGAGGATACCAAACTGTATAATGTATTCTTTTGGTGCGTAGAAATTACAGATCCGGAAAAACGTCTGGAGTCTCTACATGAAGCTCTGAAGCTCCTCCCCCCTGCCCACTGTGAGACTCTGCGATACCTCATGGCTCACCTCAAGAGGTTGGGACATTTTACAGCCTTCAGCATTATCAAGGCAGAACATTATTATAACTAATGTGTTACGGTTAGAATTCAATTATGTCCAAGGAAAAACTGAGAATGTGCTGTTTTAGAACCTGGGGGCTACATAAAGAAATCTGATTCCCTTTTTGACAATGAAGAAATAATGATGTATAGGATACTATTTATATTACCATGGTCTTTGTTAGTCAAGCTAGCGCCACCTAGTGCCTCCACTCAGTTTCATTTCTCTCCAGCAATTAGGTCAGGAATCAAAATACAATAGACTGTTCGCAAAAATCCCTAAAGTGCAAGTTCCGGCACTAGCCAGTCAGCGAAGAGCCATATATTCAGTGTTGTCAATGATTCCTGAGATCGAGGATTTAAAGCTGGAATAAAGAGAATGTTTGGTGAATTTCATCAAGGGGAAAGACGTTATTGTCCTTCTTCCTACAGGATTTGAGGAAAGCTTAATATACCAGTTAGCCCGTTAGTGGCGCATTACATACGTCATGACCAAATAGCAGCGATTGGTTAAATGATAAAAATTACTTGCCTACTGTCGAGCGAACGAATTCTAAAACTGCAAGGTCAGGCTGATGAATCAGGCTAGGGCTTTGGCAATACAAATTATCAAATCTGAATGATAATTACAAATTCAGATTCAATCAATTACAAAAATGGAGTAGTTGAAAACAAATACACTAAATATATGTAATAACTGATAATATGTATATAACGCTGTGTAACTAGAGGTGTCATACTGTCACCTGCACGATTTAATAGTTCTAGAAATTTTAAACCATATTTCAGAACATTCTCAGCCGGGTTTTAAGCCATATTGTGGGATGTTATAACCAAACGAACAGGATTTCCATGACCACTTAGGTTACATAATATTGATTTTGACCCATTAATTGCAAAACATTCAGAATTTACATCAAAACCACTGCAGTCAAAGCCTGTATGAAATGATTCACTGTTTCAATTCTTGACTTGACTTGCAACCTGTTGACTATTTTCGGTCTACACTATTATGTTTTCCAGGGTAACAGATTATGAAAAGGACAACCTGATGTCCAGTGAAAACCTCGGGATCGTCTTCGGCCCCACACTGATGCGGGCCGCCGACCTGGACGCCATGACGGCTCTCAACGACATCCGGTATCAGAGACTGGTGGTGGAGACTCTCATCACGAACGAAGACGTCCTATTCTGAGAGGACGACGGAGACACAGGGGACAGAGATGCGTGTAGTTCGTCTGTGAATACGTGAAGGACACTAAGGGAAGGATTGAAGGAGAAATGAGATGCCTTTGGAAAAATATGCGAGGAAGTAAATACTTTTATGTTAAAGGTCGATTAAATAAGTGTTTCTCCACATAAATATTCTTAAAGACCCTGTACCTGAATTTTCCCTTGTATAAAAGCTAAATTTGTCTTGGCCCAGTCCAGATATATTGCTTAAGCTCATCTTGAGGTTAAAATATATCTGCTGCGTACTGTCTGATTCTGATCAGAAAGGTGTCAGATAATCAGGAAGTACGTGTTAAGCATGCTAGTTGTTGTTAGCTTTACTGTTATGGCAAAACTCCACTCTGGTCTGAGAGTTGTGAAAAGTGCATCTGTCATTGCCATGAATAATTAGAACACTTGGAATGCATTAGGTAAGTGAAGAAAATGAACTACTGGTAGTTCTGTTTTTCATGTTTTTAAGATGGAAAAATTCAGGTATAGTGCCTTTTAAAGTTGCACTGTGTAACTTTTTGTCTTGTCTCCATGGAGATGCTATTGCCTTGCCTGGAGTGTATCACAGTATGACTTTAAGCTTATCTATCAGCTACCATCACCCACTTGTCTCCATGGTGAAAGATGCTAAGTTTAATGCCATATACTGTAACATTTCAGGCACAGCAATGAAGCATATCCACAGAAACAGGCAGAAATAGAAATGTTACATAGTGCGGTGTAATTTAAGCCAACAGAATCTTATTTCTGTTAATAAAACTTGCATTTGCCAAAACACTATAATGGGGGAACACTGTTCAATCGATCTTCATACAGTTTGTTTTAATTGATGCCTTGAACTTTTATATTGCTAATGTCTGACTGATCTTAAGGATTCATCTTAGGGTAAAAATGCACTGCTTTCTTAAATTGGCATTTTCATATTGACTTTCGTATACTATAAATTTAAAAATTTTCCTAACATGCATGACGAAAATTGACTGAAAGCAATAATCACTTATCCATAACTTTAACCGATTTTGTTTCTTATTCGTAACTTTAAATTAAAATTCCAAATTGTATTCATAAACGTGCTTCATTGCCAAAAATTGCAAAACTTTACTATTTAAAATTTGCTTACAGCCATAATGATAATGCCACACCCAAAGGAACTTCTCAAAACATTAGCAGAAACTTTTACCCTAGACTCAAAGCTTCAAAATCATGTGAGTGAAATTGTCCATTATATTCCAGCAGTGTTATAAAGCTAATTTTGCACTCCAATGCTGACTTAGAATACTTGCCAATTTTATTATTACACATTAAGTAGCCTTCTACGTGCAACCTCGTATCTAATTTGACTAAACACTGTATTTTTTTTTGTTGTAAATTTTTGATCTCTTCATGAACCTCATTATGTGAAGTAAAACAATGGAGAAAATGAGTTGTTTGAATGATGTTTTTGTACCAATATTTGTACATTTGTTGGTCTATTTTGTACATGTTTAGTTCATTTCTTATTAATTCTTACAGGTATGAATCATGTCAGCAAGTTGATCTCGCCATGTATTTAGACTAACCACCATCAGCCTAACCTAACTTGTGAGCCTTCAGTGATCTGTGACAATTGTTTTTTGGCATCATGAAATGTCATGTTTAAGTATTGTCATTGCTGTAAAGTATTTTCTACATGGTTTATGCATGGTAAAATTAAATTATTAAACATGGCCTTATTTTGGTTCTGAACTACTTGTATTATTTTATTAGGATCTAGGCTACATTATGATCATCTATGTGTCAGCCTTAACAAATAACCAAATGTCCAGCTGCACACGCTGATGTGACGTTTGTGAAGGAGTCGGCTCTTTTGAACGGTTCCTTAATCTGAACAGCTGGAACAGAATCTCATATATTAAAAATAATAAAATTTGTATGTATTTTGACACTGATTAACCTTGAATGTACACAAGAATCGGCGCAGAAGCAGAACGGGCAAGATGAGTGAAAGCTTTGTGCACACAAAATACATTTGGCGTCAAAATAATAGTTATTTTCTAAATTATTGCTATTATTAGGGTGACCAGATTCTCAAAATTCAAAACTTGAACACACCAGGGTTGGGGTGACTGGTGTAATTTAAATTTCTGTAAATTGTCAGTATTTGGTTAAACAGAAGACAATGTATGCTCCTCTTAACTGTTGGTCGAGATCAGATTAGTCGAAAATTGTGATAGTCCTGTTTTAGTCCTGGTTTAGTCTTAGATTAGTTTGGATCAAATTGGTCAAAATAGGGTACCTGGAACATTTCCTGTATAAAACTGGGACAAATCACTGTTTTTTTTAATGATCTGACACCTGACACAGGGCTCAAAAGTGGGACTAACCCGAGTAAACAGGGACGTCTGGTCACCCTAATTGTAGTGCAATATTTTATTTAGATTATGCATAATTTCAAAGAGGAAACACAGACCCACTTTCAGTTTAAACCCTTTAAATAGACGACAAACTCCTTTCACTATCTGTATGTCTTTAGTGTGTTATTATTCACCATTTAGTTAGTAGTTTGGTCAATATCGCTTGTACATGAATCGTTCACGTGGCCTGCTTCATGTCATTGGTCGCTTGTTAATTGAAGGTGCCACAGAGTCTGGAAAGCCTCGCCCTTACCTGCTTAACAAAATGAAATGAAGCTTACGCGGGGTATAACTTGAGAACTACAATGTAACAAAGATCGAACACGGAGGATTTCGTTTTAAGCGTGTTTTTTCTTCAAGATTTTTAGGAAAAGTTCGCGAAGAAACAAAGGCCTTGTCAAGCGCTTTTTCTTAGAAGTGAAACGTCCGCGACAAGGCCTCATCCAGCGGCTTTAGCCTAGGCATTAGCGCCTTACCGCATGGCGTCAAGTGTTTTTGGAGAAGTTTGTTTCGCCATCAACCTCTGGCTTTGGGTAAGTGGCAAAATGTGGCTGTGTATGAGACGAGAGCATGCATTTTTATTAATGTATAGTTTTCTTGCTGCTTTACGGTGATTGTATCTGTAACGCAAGTTGAAGGTCATTTGACTGTGGCCATGTGCAAATATTTATTGATAAAGTTAGAGAGGGTAAGCAGTGTTGTTTAAGGGTCTACGTTGTGATTATGTGATTTCTTTTTATGCTATTACTCCCTGGTAACAGCGCTGTATCCGTTTTGTGATTTGTAACCACAAAGGTGAACATAATTGTTCCAAAGTTCCAATGTGTGAATTGCCAGGCGCGCAGGCCATGTGCTCTTGGCGAATCCTGGCCCTGTCATATCAGGCTTCAGTAGGCCATTGATTCCGTACTCAGTTTTTTTTTCTAGTGTTGAATTCTTGCTCGTATCTGTTTATTTTAAATTGCATGTATGCACGGATAGTGAAGGGCGGCCGCGGAACCATGGAGACACGAAGCACAGTTGTGATCCAGCGGCGACCCGAATCTGAACCGTGCCGATCAGCAGCGCTTTTCTGCCACCCAGCGGACAACATGTATCATTGCACCCCTACTTCACAATGAAGAGACGGAAACAGGCAGGGAAATGCATTCCACTCATTACGACATTTACATAGGATAGTATATATTATTTTTCTCAAATAGCTATTGCTGTCTTATAGTATTAATTGTCTTGTAAATGTCTCATTAAAAGCACAACACAGGTGTGGTGAGTTGTAGGCCTCGTTGGCGCAGTAGGCAGCGCGTCAGTCTCATAATCTGAAGGTCGTGAGTTCGAGCCTCACACGGGGCAGATGTTTTGTGTTTTTAATGGAATAGTATATAATGTGACAGTCGCTATCAGTGTTCCAAAGCTTGTCTACATTGCAATTGCAATCAGTGACAACGCATGCATTTTGTTGAATGGGTTTTAGAGCAGATTTTTTTTTTTTGAAATTCTTGTACATAAATTGTTAGTGCATTTTGGATGGAATTTTCAGTATTGATGACATAGGTAGAGGCATTCCACTTAAGAACTTTGCTCTTCTTGCTGACACTGAACGGATGTAAATCTGATAAATATTTACCACAGGTACAACCCCCCAGACCAAGTCACAATTAAATTAAATTAAAACATGAAATGTGTTTTGTAGTGGCACATAGTATCTCCCAATGCATTTGTTATAGCCTTACATCATGGAATGGTGACATTTTGTTTTGCTATAAAAAGATAAGATTGTGCCCTTTGCTGTATGCCCGGCTAGCTCAGTCGGTAGAGCATGAGACTCTTAATCTCAGGGTCGTGGGTTCGAGCCCCACGTTGGGCGCAAGCTTTTTATCTCTAGTCAATGCTATCTAGATATCTATTTTAAACAGCAACATTTATTTTTTATCTATTATATATCAAGGTTAAGTCACAGAGGTAATGTGTAAGTGCCAAAGCCAAGACGTCCTCCTGACAAACATATTTAAAGTTCTTCTGATCTATTCTTGGCAGTCATTAGTCCACAAAATGCTAAGAAATCAAGTGATTTTTATTGTCTTTCATATTTCATATGTTCATATTGTTGAAAATTGCAAAAAGGAAGAGCCTGCCACTATGAACCCTATGCTTCGTACTATATAATTAATATGGTATAGTCTGGGTGTTATCGGTAAAAAGCACCACCCCCAAAGACTCTTTCACCGGCGCATTGGTGGTTCAGTGGTAGAATTCTCGCCTGCCACGCGGGAGGCCCGGGTTCGATTCCCGGCCAATGCAGCAGTCTTTTTTTCTTTTTCTTTAGCTTTATGTTAGTATTAAATATTGAAGATTGTAGAATTCTTTGTCGTGCTGCTACAACTCGGCTGGTTAGCACTCTAAGCAATCCTCTAGCTTTCAATATTGCAAGCTGGAATTCTTTTCTTTTTTGTATATCAAATTACTGTAGTCCTAACAATTTCTAGCTTCCTTCCTGTGTTTTGCTGTAAGTGTCTCATATTTTACTTCATACATTCATTCATGTTTTCTTTTTTGAAACAATGAATGATATATTTTAAACACAAAAATGTTTTTGCTGTTAGTTTGAGAAAGATTATATTGATGTAGTCTGCGGAAAAAGTGGTTTTTGCCTATCGTTAGAGGTGGTGAGGAGGAAAAAAAAAAAAAGAAAAAGAAAAACGTGTGCACTCCCCGTCGGGGAATCGAACCCCGGTCTCCCGCGTGACAGGCGGGGATACTCACCACTATACTAACGAGGAGATATTTGTGTAGTTTCAGAGGGCTTCTTTTATAGGTAGCATCTGTGGAAGGTAAAGGACTTGAGTATATAAATTGCTGCTGTATAAACCTGGCATTATGATCCAATGAAGTCGGCCGATATGCTTGCTGATATGGGCCGATATTTCACATGGGCATGTTATATCTCGTTATAAAGCTTAGACTCTCTACATTATGTTCATTTAACAGACAGATAAATGTCCTAATATGTGGCTCCGCATCAGTATTTATCTACGGTGTAATTTGTCTGTGTCTGTGTCCCTGAACACACCACCAGAGTGACGTCACTTCACTCGCGTGTGTTTGTTTACACCCGCAGCCGTGCGCAACACTGAGATTATATTCTTTTTTCGAACAATCGGTTTGATACGGTGGTGTATTGCTATCACTCCCCAAAAAATATTTCGGCTCAGTATCACGTAATTACGTGAAAAGTTTCACGTTATAACGTGATATTTTTCACGTTATAACGTGAAATTATCACGTTATTTCATGATATGAAATTATCACGTTATTTCGTGATGTGGTATTTTCACGTTATAACGTGAAATTATCACGTTATAACGTGATACGAAATTATCACGTTATTACGTGATACGACATTATCACGTTATTTCGTGATAGGCATTTATCACGTTATTACATGATATGAATTTATCACGTTATTTCGTGATAAGCATTTATCACGTTATTACATGATATTTTCACGTTATAACGTGAAAACGTCAAGTATGGTTTTACGTGATTTCATTATAAGATCAGCCACAGCCAAACCACGCTTCCCTCGGTCCAGTCAACTCCAGCCTGAGCATGGCCCACGCTGAAAATGTGGATTCTCCACTCTTGAGATTACTTTGGGCTCATGTTGTCTCCTTCACATGAAGCAGGATCGTGTAAGTGTATTTTACTGTTTCGTCCCCAAGTTGTGTTAGCGTACGGTAGCAGAATGCTCTGTAAGCAACTGCTGAATATTAGAGCTGGAGCGAGTTGTTCGCTGTGGGTAGAGCTGCTAAAAGTACCTAGTCTGTTTGCAATTCTGTTACAGCTCCTAAGAATTAGTTAAAGACAAAAGCATTCATTTGACACATTTCGGTGTTTCCAGTTATTTATGAATAATGACCATAAAACATTGTTGACTGTATGCACTCAGACATAGACAGTGTAAGAGAAGGTTATTCAGAAAAATGTGGTGTAGTTACTAAGCTAAGTGCTTTCAGTTTACTGTTCGTCCTCAAGATAGCAGAATGTTCGGTAAGCAACTGCTGAACGAGTGCTGTAGCGAGTTGTTCGCTGTGGGCAAAGAGCTGCTAAAATTGCAATTCTGTTATAGCTCCATAGTTAATGACAAAAGCATTCGTTTGACACATGTCTGTGTTTCAAGTTCTTCATGAATAAAGACCATAAAACACCACGGCCGTCCTCATCCCAAGTTACCATCATAAACTCATAAAACAGCACATGTAGCCTATAACTTTGTACACAACTCGCTGCACATCAGCCCAGAAGCTCTGAGTTCGGGTAACAGCAGCAGCCAACAGCAGTAAAGACATCGCTGAGCGGTTCCGTGCCGTCCTCTGCGCGCTGGTTCTGTGCGGGGAAAGCGAGAATGCGCAGTGAACTCTAGGTCCGTGCGGGTTGCTCCGGTGTAGCGTTGCGGCTGGTTCTGAGGTGGAGTAAAGCATCCGGACAGAAGCGCGAATCCGGTCTGGTTCGTTACTGTTCTGAGCCTCCTCCGTGCACTTGGTTCTTCTCGAGAAAAGCGCTTCTCAGGCCGAGGCACCTAACCACTCCCCGCTCCAGATCATCTGAGCCCGGCCTGAACCGGAGGAGCACCGGGACCTCTGAGCGCTCTTCCCTTGCACAGGCCGGGCTCAGATGAGTTGAAGCGGGACTTAGCTTAGCTAACTACACCACATTTTCTGAATAACCTTCTCTTACACTGTCTATGTCTGAGTGCATACAGGCAACAATGTTTTATGGTCATTATTCATAAATAACTGGAAACACCGAAATGTGTCAAATGAATGCTTTTGTCTTTAACTAATTCTTAGGAGCTGTAACAGAATTGCAAACAGACTAGGCTACTTTTAGCAGCTCTACCCACAGCGAACAACTCGCTCCAGCTCTAATATTCAGCAGTTGCTTACAGAGCATTCTGCTACCGTACGCTAACACAACTTGGGGACGAAACAGTAAAATACACTTACACGATCGTGCTTCATGCGAAGGAGACAACACGAGCCCGAAGTAATCTCAAGAGTGGAGAATCCACATTTTCAGCGTGGGCCATGCTCAGGCTGGAGTTGACTGGACCGAGGGAAGCGTGGTTTGGCTGTGGCTGATCTTATAATGAAATCACGTAAAACCATACTTGACGTTTTCACGTTATAACGTGAAAATATCATGTAATAACGTGATAAATGCGTATCACGAAATAACGTGATAATTTCGTATCACGTAATAACGTGATAATTTCGTATCACGTTATAACGTGATAATTTCACGTTATAACGTGAAAATACCACATCACGAAATAACGTGATAATTTCATATCATGAAATAACGTGATAATTTCACGTTATAACGTGAAAAATATCACGTTATAACGTGAAACTTTTCACGTAATTACGTGATACTGAGCCAAAATATTTTTTGGGGAGTGATAGCAATACACCACCGTAGTTTGAGTCTGGATTAAAAGGACATTTATTAGTGCAGACTTGTGATGTGAGGAGGA